ACCAACTTGACTTGTTGACCAACTTGACTCACATTGTTGACCGTTGACTTCTCCATCCAGAACTTGACCCGACGGCAGTGTCACCAGCAAGAGGCCATCTGGGAGCTCTTGCACACCGAGGCCACCTACATCAAGAAGCTGAAGGTCATCACCGATGTAAGTCCTGACTTAAGTGGCTAGTGAGGAACCCTGGGATGTCCATTATGGAGGAAAAACAGAACATGTAGGGACACCTCTGTCACATACACACATGCAAATGGACATCCCAGGGTTCCTTACTCTTTCCACAGCAATGGAAAAAAGTAAGGAACCCTGGGATGTCCATTCCAGAGGAAAAACATGTAGGGACACCTGCCACATGCACCCATGCAAATGGACATCCCAGGGTTCCTTACTTTTTCCACAGCAATGGGATGTCCATTCTGGAGCAAAAACAGGACATGTAGGGATATCTCTGCCACATACACACATGCAACTGGACACCCCAGGGTTCCTTACTTTTTCCACACCAATGGAAAAAAGTAAGGAACCCTGGGATGTCCATTATGGAGGAAAAACAACATGTAGGAACATATCTGCCACATCCCAGGGTTCCTTACTCTTTCCACAGCAATGGAAAAAAGTAAGGAACCCTGGGATGTCCATTCTGGAGGAAAAACAGAACATGTAGGGACACCTCTGCCACATACACTCATGCATATGGACATCCCAGGGTTCCTTACTCTTTCCACAGCAATGGAAAAAAGTAAGGAACCCTGGGATGTCCATTCTGGAGGAAAAACAGGACATGTAGGGACACCTCTGCCACATACACACATGCAAATGGACATCCCAAGGTTCCTTACTCTTTCCACAGCAATGGAAAAAAGTAAGGAACCCTGGGATGCCCATTCTGGAGGAAAAACAGAACATGTAGGGCCACCTCTGCCACATACACTCATGCAAATGGACATCCCAGGGTTCCTTACTTTTTCCACAGCAATGACCCTGGGATGTCCATTCTGGATGAAAAAAAGAACCTGTAGGGACACCTCTGCCACATACACACATGCAAATGGACATCCCAGGATTCCTTACTCTTTCCACAGCAATGGAAAAAGTTAAGGAACCCTGGGATGTCCATTCCAGAGGAAAAACAGAACATGTAGGGACACCTCTGCCACATACACACATGCAAACGGACATCCCAGGGTGCCTTACTTTTCCCACAGTAATGGAAAAAAGTAAGGAACCCTGGGATGTCCATTCTGGAGGAAAAACAGAACATGTAGGGACACCTCTGCCATATACAGACATGCAAATGGACATCCCAGGGTTCCTTACTCTTTCCACAGCAATGGAAAAAAGTAAGGAACCCTGGGATGTCCGTTCCGAATATTTGCCCTTTTTCCCTTTCCCAGCTCTTCCTGTGTTGCCTTTTGAACTTGCAAGAATCAGGGCTCCTCTGTGAGGTAAGTTGCATTTCTTTCTGTTTACCATCCTAATTCCACACCAAGGGAGAAAGTCAGGAACACTGGGATATCTGTTAATAATAATAATCTGCCTCAGTGCCCAGTCTTTATTGGGAAGCTGTAAAGTGTGATAAGGGAGTGGAGTGTGCTGTTGCTGCTGCCTCCTTGGGTCATGCAAATTCCACACCGATGGAGAAAGTCAGGAACACTGGGATATCTGTTAATACTTCTAATAATAATATTCTGCATCAGTGCTCAGTCTTTATTGAGAAGCTGTAAGGTGTGATAAGGGAGTGGAGTGTGCTGTTGCTGCTGCCTCCTTGGGTCATGCAAATTCTACACAAGTGGAGAAAGTCAGGAACACTGGGATATCTTAATAATAATAATAATATTCTACATCAATGCCCAGTCATTATTGGGAAACTGTAAGGTGTGAGAAGGGAGTGGAGTGTGCTGTTGCTGCTTTCTCCTTGGGCCATGCAAATTCCACACCAATGGAGAAAGTCGGGAACACTGGGATATCTGTTAATAATATTCTGCATCAGTGCCCAGTCATTATTGGGAAGCTGTAAGGTGTGAGAAGGGAGTGGAGTGTGCTGTTGCTGCTGCCTCCTTGTGTCATGCAAACTCCACACCAATGGAGAAAGTTAGGAACACTGGGATATCTGTTAATAATAATAATAATAATAATAATAATAATAATATTCTGCATCAGTGCCCAGTCTTTATTGGGAAGCTGTAAAGTGTGAGAAGGGAGTGGCGTGTGCTGTTGCTGCTGCCTCCTTGGGTCATGCAAATTCCACACCAATGGAGAAAGTCAGGAACACTGGGATATCTGTCAATAATAATAATAATAATAATAATAATAATAATAATATTCTGCATCAGTGCCCAGTTATTATTGGAAATCTGTAAGGTGTGATAAGGGAGTGGAGTGTGCTGTTGCTACTGCCTCCTTGGGTCATACAAATTCCACACCAATGGAGAAAGTCAGGAACACTGGGATATCTAGTAATAATAATAATAATAATAATAATAATAATCTGCAC